TTCCCCTCCCTAATTTTAATCAGCGAGTCTCGACGTTACGAAAAAGCCATCTGAGACAATTTTGTTTTCACAACGCTTAGTTTCACTAATTAAAAAAGTGAATAGAGAAAGGGAGTAATGCTAGTATCGATGAGAATAAAAAGATGAATTGAGAGAAAAGGTTTATTTGTCATGAAAGAAACTGCAGTAATTGAAGTTTGAAAGCTTCGCGACACGTGTCATTTACAAACAAAATTTCCTTCTCGGGGATTGGGTTTAATGATCGTGCTTAAAATCCGGGGACGGCTCGTGCCGGCTTTGCATTTGAATGTACCTAATTGCGTGCATTTATTATAGGCAAGTTCTGCGCTTTTATTTTATTTTTACTTTACTTGTGTCGATAATCTATTTTTCGACAATTTATCGTGTCCAAATTACGTAATCGCTTGTTATTTTTCCATGTATGGATATATATGTTTTTTTACACGAAATAGTAAATTCAATATTTTTTGTTTACGTAGCAAAAAATGTTTTTATTATAATATTTTAGTATTTTATTATAATATTACAATATTTTTTTATTATAACATTTGTTTCTTTCATTCCTTCTCTCTCAGTGCGATTCGCTAATTGTCACTCGGACAAGCGATCTGCCAAGTTCAAGATATGAACGTTCAAATGTTCCCTCGCACAATGCAGTCAATTACAAATTCTACAATGTGGAAGACGGCATATGTGTAATCACTCTGTTTTTTGTACTTCAGAATAATTCGTCAATAATTCCGTTGTTATATTTCTTGTAATATATTTTATTTATACATAATTCAAAATCATTTTATTTCAATATTTATATTTCAATACGCATCATTTCCTTTTCCAAGCACGTTTTCTAAACTTGAAATATAATCTCCTCGATGTTTGTAGCGTTTATTAATTTTGCGCCCTTTGAGTCAAGTCCAAAGCGGATTTGGCTCATTAAATGTGAAATCGAACGGAACGTTTGCTCGATCGTACTTTTTCAAAAGTTTTTCGTATAAATGAATCGTGATGAAGAACAGGATAATTAGAACTGCGTAATGAATAGAGCGTCAATATAAAAACTCCAATATACAGGGTGTCCCATTTTAACATTCGTATTAAAAAATCTCGAAAACTATAAAAGATATTAAAAAACACTAAAACACGTTTTCCATGATTTCGAAGGGGAAAGAGAATGGCATTATCAGTTTTTTATTTGGAGGGTATTTTCAAGGTCAGTTGAAGGTCAACTTAATTTTTTAAAATAGGAAGCCCAATTTTTTATTATATCTTCTTTTTCTACTAATTAATTTTAACAACTTTTGTCTGAAACATTTTTTTATTTATCTAATATTTATTGAAATATTTAAGGAAAACTTGGTAACTTTTTCAACATTTCACTTACGATATCTCGTTAATTATTCGTCGAAAGAAAAAATAATATTAGACTTTTTTACTTTATTTACCATCAAAAATATATTACTATAATAGTGCCCTTTTTTTATTATAATAGTGCCTAACTTTTATTAACTTATCGACCTTTGCAAATTTCAAAATTATTAAATTATAGTAATATATTCTTGATAGTAAATAAAGCAAAAAACCTAATACTATTTTTTCTTTCGACGAATAGTTAACGAGATATCGTAAGTTAAATGTTGAAAAAGTTACCAAGTTTCCCTTAAATATTTCAAAAAATATTAGGCAAATAAAAAAATGTTTCAGACAAAAGTTGTTAAAATTAATTGGTAGAAAAAGAAGATATAATAAAAAATTGGGCTTTCCATTTAAAAAAATTAAGTTGACTTCCAACTGATGATTTCAACCTTGAAAATGCCCTCCAAATAAAAAACTGATAATGCCATTCTCTTTCCCCTTCGAAATCATGGAAAACGTGTTTTAGCGTTTTTTAATATCTTTCATAGTTTTCGAGATTTTTTAATGCGAAAGATAAAATGGGACACCCTGTATATACATACATCGTATATACAATAATTGAGACATATGATCATATTGTAACAATTATGTCAATAAAATTAGACGCGTTTAGACAACTGGTAAAACATATATACGACGAAGCGCATTAACAAGTCGCAAATATAATTTACATTCTTCGCCACGGCGGAGTTTTGATACAACTTTTTACCATCTGACGCAACATTGCATCACGTCCTTCCGTGATTTTCAGTAATAATTCGTATGTAGCGACGTATACCGATTAAATTTTGTTTGTTTATCGTTAATTTAATACACGCCAGCATTTCATGCTCGTATACAGAAATCAAGATAAGTACTTCAACCTTTCTTGTTTAATAGGCATTCTAATCTATTATGATCAATATCCGCTTCAATAGGGGGTATTGCTTTGGGGAGCGCTTCGATGAGGATTGTTGTACTGGTAATAGCGCGCAATTTTTGCGATATGAACGCAGATGTATATCGCACTTCGTGTTTACTCAAGCGTATATAAACGTGTGTTTAATTCTTTCAGCCGAAAACTTTGCAAACCAGTGATATACTCGAAATGAATGAAAAATACGCGCCCGGAAATTGCAATTTACGCATTAGTCGCCTCCAGACGTAGGAATTTCAGAGGTAATTCTCGAGGAGAAACGGCAACGTTAAAAAATAAAGAGTCGAGTTTGACTCCTGTTGCGAGAAGTGAATGGATCTCAAATATTCATTGGACCGGAACGCAGCTATTGTTCCGCCCGTAACTTCTGAGAAGAACACGACCGGAGCCTACAAAATATCTGATGAAGTATATTTCTTTATTTAGACGTATCTTCTCCTCTTCATCTCAGTTCATGACTATTTCATTTCATGGCTGTTCTTGCGAGTGGATACGCTGAGCGAGTGTGTGTTTGCGCTACCTCCTGGAAATAAAAACGATGCGACAATTGTGAGCGGAATTTACTTGCACGATAAACTTAACATTTTATGTAATTAGGTCATTAAGATATTCTAATTGCACATATTAATTTGTTATTTATTAATATTTAAAATTGGGAAAACGATCCTGTGACAAAAGTTTGTCACAATAGTAGCCTTATGTTAATATTTAAAAAGGAATTCGTATATAATTACAAAATACTAACTAAATACTAAACAAAATACTAAACTTGTACTCAATATTAAGGCTTAAGAATATTATGACAGTTTGAACACAGCGACCTTCCTGATGTTCCTTTTTAATAGAACATGCCGCCAAATTTTTCATCGAAATACCTAAAGCACGGTTAACCGAATAGTTACCGAACGAATCGTGATTGATTGCAAAAAATCGCCGAAGTTTATTAAAAGGACAAAAATATTTTATATTGTATTATTGGGTGTGCAAAAGTTATGATGGTTTTCTCAAAAATGTGAAAAAAAAAACTTTTGCATTCACTTAATATCGGCATTTATCTTTGTCATTTAGGCTAGGCTTTTTATTGGATTATTTATCGACAATCAAGGGTGCGGAGTACCGATTCAAGGTAAATAATGAGAAGACTCAAAATTTAGATATGTTATTGCTTCAGCGGCGCTTATTCGGTAATAATAATCGCTGATAATCCAATAATAAACTCTAACTTTACAGACTTTAAAATAGAAAAAGATTTCGCTGTTTTTAATAACCTACAGTCGGTAAATGTTTTGACGAAGCATAAACGGACTCTGTTACCAGTAAAATGATAAAAAAGATTAATAAATTAATAAACTTGTTGCGATTCTTTCGGAGGAAACGGGCACAGCCTAATAATAACGAGCTGGATAAATTCAATCTAGGGGGTAGCTAATCGTGGCCAGGACTGAAATTTCTCTCTGCGGATTGCTATCTAAATTTAGCCCTGCTCGATTGAGACCTGTCGAACTGTTTTTCAGATCAGACGTCATAAAGCCATTATGTTATGAAGTCTAGCAGCAACTCATTCATACGCACCCAACTTGGCTTCGCCAACTTCACTCCGCATTGTTTTCCAACGCCGGCCGTCAGAGAGAGTAACATGTTAACCACCCGAATCATCCGTTTAGCCACAATTTCCTGGTGCCCCGTGTGCCATCACCGTCTGTAACCCCCCTCCCCCCTCGCCCCTACAAAATTTCGGAGTATCCTTGAAGAGCCCGTCGCGTGCGGCGTCTTGGCGGCGTCGATTCGCGAACCGATTCGCCCGGCCCTTCCGAAATAGACGTTATCGGGGGCTGCGAGAGATCGCAATCGCTCAGGGTGCAATTAGCGATAGCAGGCCTCGAGCGATTCATCAAGCCGCCGCCGGGGAGATGCAGCCGCGGTAAGTGGGTCAGGGCACACGCAAAAGCCGACGTGGTCGGTCCGAGCGGCGTGGTCCGATTAACCACGCGATCGCTTCGACTTCCTCGCCTATATTCGTCGCTGACGTGCGCCGGGGGTTGCGCCGTGGGGGTGTGCAAAGGTGCCTGGTACGCTGCTCGTAAGCTCCCGCTCGGCCACCAGCTGCACGGCTCACGTGCTCAGGAGCGTTTCGTCCGTCTTTATTGCCCAGGTTAACGCGAGACTGCGATCTAGCCTGAGGGTGTGAACAGCGCCGTCGATGCGCGACGATTAGAAGATATCCTTATCGCGAGAAAATTATCTCCCCTAAACCCGGGAGGAGTCCGCTGCTCCTTTAAGCAAGCGGTTCATTGAAAAATAGGGTGGGCGAATGAATCGTTTTTATTTTTGTACAACCATGCACTTCTGCAGCCGCGACGGTCCACGGACTGATTTCTCGGGGCGGCTCGAATTTCCTGCGGCGAAATCAACGAGACGCTCTCTCGTCTGCTCTCTCGTGAATCGCGATTTTCCCGACTGGCCGGTTCCTTTTTAGCGGCTTGGCTGACGGGTCGGCGTCGGGAGGGGTTTGCTCAAGCAATTCCGTCGATAACTCGACGGGGTGTCGATACGATCTCGTTTAAACGCTTCCATCATCAGGAGCATCTTAAAACACCCCTGGCACGCGCGCGCACCTGCGAAATGTCAGATTCCACCACCTGATTCGCGTGCCGTTACCTCCGCGTCGTCCTCGTCGTCGTTCAGTCTTACCTTCACTTCCAGCAGAACTTCATCTTCAAGCGAATCCACGCGCCGTTTTCTTTTTGTTTGGCTTTCCTCTTGGCGGCTTATCCTCATCATCGATGGTGATTAGTCGCTGATTAATTTCCCGCGAATAATCGTCCCCTCAGTGTTCACGAAGGATGCGCCGATCGTTGGGCATGCATCGAGGATTCAACAGGTATCAAAAGTGGCGCAGTGAGTGAGCTCGTCATGACCCGTTGGGCTTTATGGAAAATTAAGCGCGTGCTCTTCGCTCGCTAGCCGTCGTTTGCGTCCAACTTTGTTCCCGGGGATTTGATATTGCGTGTTGAATAACAAAGTTGAATTTTTAACGATGTAAAACTTTAACGATGTACTGTCTAGTCGACTAAGCGTATCGGCTGGGTGCATACAGGGTGTCTCAGGTTCCAACGGCCCAACCGCGCTAGTGTGTTTTATGAATAAAAATAAGAAGAAGAAAACATTATATATTATAACGTTATATTATAACAAAAAAGTGAGATGTATCGTGAACGAGAGAAATTTGCTCTGATTATCGATTATTTCGTTATTATTATAACTTTATTAACGTTCCAATATTGATCATGTTTGTTAACATATGACCGAGACGACGTAGAAAAATTGAATTAACTACCCTGTAAATTTTGCATTGTGATCCTACTTTATCTCAGCGAATGCAATTTTTATTAATTTTATTACAATTTTACAAATATTACAATATTACAAATTTTATTAATTTTTTAAATCAAGTTTTGACGTGTACTGTTTCTATGGACTGTGATAAGGCAACATTGAAGAAAGGAGATATTTGTAATTTTCCTTACTTTTTTGTTATAATTTTTTAATAAAGCTTCTTACGACATATGTATAAATATAAAGTCTTTTTCTCTTATTTTTATTTACGACACGTTACCGCAATTTGGCCATTAAAACCTGGGACACCCTGTATAATCGATTATGTGTACGTGCGTGAATAAATTTATGCAAGTATTTTCAGATTATTGTAACAAGACTGTCCTTTGCTCGAACCTTCCGTCAAAATCCATAAAGTGATGAAGAATCCATGAACCTCAGTGAGACTTTCTCGAGCGGGAAAGTTCTCAGTTGCGCTACATGAACGCCAACGATGGATCCTGTTCAAACGTGGACTCCTCAAGCGAGGACAAGAAGGACAAGGGGGAAGATGTCGAAAATGAGACTGAAAGCGTCGAAGCGGATGTGGTGACGAACACCAGCGAAGTGACGAGTCGCGATGCCAAGCTCCTCGAAGGTTGGAAGCATTTCTCGCGTGATTAGCCGTACGCAAACGCGACTGCAACGTGACTTGCAACGTTGAGACAATAATCGGCCTCGTCGCTTTTTCTTTCAAAGAGGAACCGGATTGCCCGGAAAGCAAAACCGAAGAACTGCCACCGACCCTTCACGAGCGATTTTCGCGCGTCAAGCAAATCGTGAAGGACGCTATAGCTGCCCATCATACTTTCATGATTTACGGGAAATCGCGGGTCATTCGCGATTGTATGCTGAAGAGGGGATGGTGCGAGAAATTTTACCGCAGAAACAGCGCTGGTAATTAATCCCCCCCCTGGTCTTCCGCTTGCGAGAGTTTGCCGGGTCAGACGGTTACCAGCGCGATATTACGGTTACCAGCACCTGGCGTGCGCTATCTCGTTGTTATCAGTAAGATGAGCACGCCTGAAAAAATCCGGCCAACTTTCGCAGGCCCCTAAAGTACAAGTAGCTCTTCGCACCTCGGTATGTAAAACGCGAAATTCTCGTACGAGGAAAATTTCGAGGAGTAACAGTGACTCTTTCAGCCGACCAGCACTTCAACGTCGACGCGAGTCCCGTGGTCCTGCTGGCCGGCATCGGCGACTTGAAGGATCAGCAGAACGAACGTCAGTTGATATCGAGGATGCTCACTAATCACACTGTCGACTTCCTGTGGAACACGGGCTCCGATTGGCCCGGCTGGCCCGCGCAGGATAACAAAATCACTGTGTTCAATCGATACTGTCGAGCGGGCTTCACGTCCAAGGTATCGTTGCTCGCGTTCAATTGCGCGACGCTTTAAACTTTCACGGACGTGAATCTTCAGGTGAATACTTAGGTCGAGCGGGTGTTGCGAGATTTTTTGTCTGTTTTTCTTCCGTCGACTGCGAAAACTATTTGCGTGTCGGTGGAAATGAAGGGAGGGGGGTAACCCAAACGGCGAGGAAAAACGAGTCTTCTTGAAACATAGAGATGTTTAGATAGGAGACAGTGCTTGATGGAGGTGCACGTTCTTCGCGGGAGCGTGCCTGCGAGTCGTTAGGGCAGAGTGCGCGTGCACTCCTTCGAAAATCAATTATTCAGGTGGGCTTGTGCTCGAGTGTCCGACAAATGCACTGGTATTACGAAGCCGGAGTGGCCAACACTCTGTTCCCGCGCTGCTACAACATATGTCAGGACGATCAGATGCACGCCTTCGTCGAGGATTTCCGGTGAGGAAGCTTCACGACACTGTCAACCCGTCGAAGGTCAGGTTTCATGAACATTTCTCATGGGAGAGTCAATTTCCCAGAAGTCTTAGATTGGTATTATTAGTATTAGATCTGTACTGTTAGATTAGGTTAGCACTGGGACTGTCGAGTTGTCTGAGAAGTGCGTATGAGCTTCTTGGATTAAAAAAAAAACTTTGCATGGATCTCTTGGGTATTTTTCGAAACGCGTTTATGATCTCTACTGTACCCCTAAGTCGTGCATCATGAGTTATTTTCGATTAGCACCCTCATTTGGTCATCACTAGTGGCTGGAAGTCTTCCAGAGCGCGTCTCGTCAAGGTCAAAATTACTCGCTTTAAACTTAGCGAGCCACTTGCGAACGGTTGATAAAGCAATGCCACCGTACTCATAAACTTTACAATTTTGCTTCGGTGTCTGCACAGCACTTTTCCCTTTACTGTAATGGAAAACACCATGTGTCAAAAGTACATCTTTGTCTTCTCCATCTTCACAGCTTAACATAACGCACAAGTTCAAGCGACCTCAACCAAACGTTTGCTAAACGACATTCCAGTTCGCTTCCTCGGGGAGAATAACCTAAACTGAAGTGAATTGGAATGTTCACGAAACTGTCGGAAACAAATCCACGATGGACGATTAGATATATAGATGTCATACACATGCGTTGAAACGCACGAACTTCTCGCGCAGTCCAAGAGTATTTCTCTGCCTGAATAACCGAAATTGCTATCCGAAATTGCCATCACTCTGCTGCTCAACACGGTTACTCGGTAAACACACCGACTGATGCAACACACGCAAAACCTTTCGTTAGACTCACAGGCTGCCTGAGTCTGCTGAAGTGGTTAGTAGCGAAGGTCAACGCCGAGGATGAAAACGCCGTGCACTCGCCTAATGGCACGATACCCCTGAAGGCGCTCGACTTCGCGATCAAGAGATGCAACGACTACATCAGCGCCAAGTCGCACGAGGACATCGATCAGGAGAGCGAGCGAGTCTGGTCTCACCAGTGGGACCAATTTGTTGGCTGGTATTATCAGATCGTCCACGGACAAGCTCTCTTCGTTCACGCCAATGTACCCTTTAACGTGAGATATCCGTCAGCGAAATCGTAATCTATGCTTATCTTTGCCATTTATTCTCGCGGCGACTCGCTCATGTCGTTCGAGAAAGATGATGTCGCGCTTGCCGACAGAAATACGTCCTGGCCTCGAAGCATATCCTGAGGAAGATGAAGAGGCATTGGCCGCAGCTCGACATGGACGGCGTGATGAACGTGTGGATCCTCAAGCCAGGCAACAAGAGCCGGGGCCGCGGTATCGTGCTGATGAACAAGCTGGAGGACGTGGTGGCGAGGATCAACCCAACGGGCAAGTCGGACGCGCGCTACGTGGTGCAGAAGTACATCGGTAATGAGCCGCAAATGAGGCCAACGAAATCAGAGTAATAACAACAGTCGATTCCCGTCGTTCATGCCTTAACAGCGAATTCATTTCTGTCCCCCCCCCTCCCGTTCACGCAGAACGGCCGTTGCTGATCCACAGCACCAAATTCGACATCAGGCAATGGTTCATCGTCACGTGCGCGCAGCCGTTGACCCTCTGGATGTACAGGTACGCGGGCATCGGGGACGCATACCTGACAGACAAGTCACAGCATTTTGCAACAGCGCGCTCACGGCAGAACAATTAGCGGCCGCGCGGTAACGTAAGCTCGGGGCCCGTAAGAGATAATGGTAGCGCCGAAAGTAGGCTAATAATCAACTCGCTCTGTACCGTACCGAGACGTCCAAGCGCGTGACCCCGTTTCCCCCCGGTGCCCCCGCGCGGTCGGATATAAATACCTGGGCGATTTGTCGATGGAGAGGCGCGTCACACCCGCGCTCTAATGTCGCGCGCTAATTATGCCATTGGGACAAAGAGCGCGACAGAACAGTCGAGGGGCGGGGGAGAGGGCAGAGGTCGAAGAGGCCGAGGCTCCGTCGATTGATTGATGCCTGTTCGCAGGGAGAGCTACCTGCGCTTCTGCTCGCAGAAATTCAGCCTGGACGACTTCCACGAGTCGATTCATCTGTGCAATCACGCAATCCAATGCAAATACAATAACTGCGGCGACAGGGACCCCGCGCTACCCGCGGACAATATGTGGGACGTCACGGCATTCAAAGAGTTCCTCAAGTATGAGACGCGCTGATGGCGGATATTATTATGCAGAGTGTTAGGAAAAGGATTCAGGACCTTTTGAGGGCAGATTGAGAGTCCATTCATAGAACGGAGAAAAGGGTCCCGATAAACATGGGTCGAGAAATTAATATTGTGTCGGAGCTATAAACAATTGTTTATTTTAATTAAGGTAAGTGACTTACTCGCCTCTGGTGCACAGCCATACATGAAATGCATTTCAGCCATTTCTTGATTAGAATAATACGATGTCATTCTTACTGCGAAAACTTTGTGACAATTCCCTGCAACTGTTTACTGTGCACGAGGATAATTAATAATTGATTGGGTGAAGCGTGTGTGTGTGTGTATGTATGTATAAATAGGAACGAAATAGATGTTTGTTTATATTCTGGGAAAAAGCGAAGAGGCTTTTTTAGGGATTTCTTTAAAGCATGGTACTCCCTCTTCACCGATAAATGACATGGACAGATTACATCAGAGAATACAAAAGCACCAGAAGCGAGCAAGTCACTTGCTTGAATTAAAATAAATAATTGTTTATTTATATATATATATAATTATATATATATATATATAATAACTCTGATATTAATTTTTCGTTTATTAGGACTTTTTTCCTCCATTTTGTGAATATTATCTGCTCTTAAAGTTCTGGACCTTTTTCTTAAATACCTTGTATAAGAAGGGAACAACGAGGTCTTCTTCTTTATTTCTTTCTCAATATCCGAGTCAAAAAATGTTCAAGCTCTTTTAGGTTAGATCTTTCTTGATGTCGTCTTGATTGTGACGTCAGAAGCGACGAAATGACACGCTGAAAATTATAGCGTTCCATTTCCAAGTGAGAGGATACCTGTATCCATAAAGAATACTTCAGATCTTTCGAGCATACTTGAAGAATGTTCCGAAAACTATACTTCTCCCTTGATAGTCCATTAACAGCCGTAAAATGTGATATGAGGCCTGATCATACGGAATGATTGCGCATGCGTATGACTAGGCTCCATATTAGGGTTGTAACGAATATTCGCTTTCGCATATGCGAAAGCGAGACTTTCATTTTAGAGCCTCGCTTTCGCTTTCGCTATCGCAACTAATTATACGAAAGTTTTAGCGAAAGATTTTGTCCAGCCCGCGGGATTCACAGCTTTGCTGGGGACACACTGAATGGCGGGGGAATGCAGTTTATGTTTCATTCATTGATTTGCCAGTCTAGAGACACTTTAGACTTTAGAGTTTAAACGTGTTTATTGAAAAGGAATAAGTGCAAGTAAACTTCTGATATAAATTATATCAATTAAATAACTACACAACTAAGTGTGGTAAGTGATAAGTGATAATAATAACAATGAAACCAAAATCCAGTTTTATATGGTATTTTTATGATGAAGTGGGAATGGAATTTAAGATGTCATAGTATAAAACGTCTTTAAGACTACTTAAAGACGTCTTATGTTTCGATTTTGGACATCGTGTTGTCTGGGAAGTTACTAATTTAATCATTTGCATCACTCAGAGTAGAAAGAAACAAGATCTTTCTTTCACTTTCGCATTCGCAAGAAATTTCTTTTTTCTTTTGCTTTCGCATTCGCTTTCATTGTAACCACTTTCGTTACAACTCTACTCCATATTGCAGTCATTTCATGACCGTTGATTAGCTATCAAGAGAACAGGATAACTATCGGAGCATTTTACAAGTACGTTCAAGTGATCCAAAGTATTTCTTCATACAGGTGTCATTTTATTTGGAAACGGCACGCAAGAATCTTCAGTGTGTCATTCCTCGCCTCTGACGCCATGATTGACCTCTGAGCCATTCAATATGGCTGCGGCGAATATCCAGGAGCCTGAAATATTTTCTGCACGTAGATGACTTCTTGCAAAGACCAAAGTGAGACTCGGGAAGAAAGTCCGAATCATCCAAAGATTCTTATGAAAATTCTGCAGATCTCAAGGTCACGGGGAGGCATGGGACGAGTTGATCTACCCCGGAATGAAGCAAGGCCTGGTGGGTTCGTTGTTGGCCAGTCAGGAAGCCATGGATCGACGGAAGAACAGTTTCGAGCTGTACGGCGCCGACTTCATGGTCATGGAGGACTTCTCGGTGTGGTTAATTGAGATCAACAGTCACCCGGACATGAGTTACTCCACCAGCGTCACCACACGATTATGCCGACAAGTGATGGAGGACACCATCAAAGGTGATGGATGGTCGAGTCGAATGTTTACTTATTTGCATTGTTGTTTGCGCATAATCATGACGGAGATCGCGCTTCTGTTTTCGGCAGTCGTGGTGGACTTTCGGGAGGACAAGAACGCGGACACGGGACACTTCGAGTTGGCTTACAAGCAACGAATGCCGAGCTGCCACCCGTACCTCGGCGCGGCCTTGTCGCTGCAAGGCACGCGCATCACCACGTGCGAGAAAAGATCAAACACGAATCTGGATCACAAGGTCAGCCTGATCGCGAAGTCCCCGTTGGTGAGCCTCCCAGACATCACGAACTCCTAAAAGACGTCTCAGAGGCGCCTAGATGACGTCCTCCGGTTTCTAGGCGTCTTTTGGGAGCTTGGATCGCAATGATACAGAGAAACGATTCGCGACGGTGTGCAAGCGATCGGTAATATTTGTTTGTCGTCAGACGAAGAAGAAGTCGCTGGTACACAGCAACATCGGGCCGGTGATCGTCGACTTGATAGAGGAACTGGAGATCCAGCTCGATCAAGAATTGTATTCTTATTACAACTTGAACTCGCCCAAGCTGAGATTGGCAGTCCCGGCGACTGCGCCAGTGAAGTCCTCGAAGACGTCGGTTTTCGACGAAAAGGTCGAAACCGTCACGAGAAGCACCTCGGTCAGCACGACGACCATCAATAAGACGAAGTCGTCCACCAACGTCCAGGTAATTCATTAGAACTAGACGGGAAAAACGTCGCTCCAGGGTCATGGTCAGCGAAAGCTGCGATTGCTCGAAGTATAACGTGTCTTCTGTTGTATTCTTCAGAGCAAGCTGATCAAGGCCAACAAGGCGAACAACGGGAAAAGCTCGTCGCACAAACCCGCACGGAAGCTGCGCACGTTTACGGGAACGGTGAACGGCAAAGCGGACACGATGCCGACGAGGCAGACGTTGATCTCGAAGATCATGGCTCTTCAGCAACAATCGACGAGCATGGCGCCGAAGTCTGAGAAGCCGGCGAGGAAGAACGAAGAGAAGGTACGCTCCCTCGCGAAAATAACACCTTACGCGTTCATTTTCCGATCGTCTGACATTCCCTAGCTTCCTCTTTCGCTGATCACTCCTACTTCGTTTCTCCCGGCAGATCGTCAAGACCGCGATGCGCGACGCCATGAAGAAATACAAGAGGAACGTGGCGATCCCGGCGAAGGCGACGCCGCAGCCGTCCCTGTTCGCGGCGAAGGCCAAGCTTACAGCCACGTCGACGGCCGAGAGTAAAACCCGAAGTAGCTTCCCGAAGAAACAGACGTACCGTAAGAAGAACAAAATCCTGACGGACATCACTGACATGTACGCCGTCGGTTTAAGCCTGACCAAATAGTTCAAAGAGAGAAAGAGGAAAGGAAACAGGAACTCTATTATATGAAACGCATTCGTTACCCGTTATTCTTCTCTTATTGCTGTTGATCGATTCTTCAATTCTATCTACAAGTGATCTATGTATACAATTAATAAATGTTACGATTATACCATTAGCGGTCATTTTACTCCTCCATCGTCGAGTGACTCGTGCGGTGTAAACGAGAGGGCATCGAAACAAAAGAAAGCCCGCGAAAGCGGGCCGGAAATTCACTGCGTGATCCTCCCCTCGTCATTCGAATTCGCGTCGCTCTGTCAAATTCCCCGTTTAGTATCCCCCGAATAACGAAATGTCTGGGCGGGCGAGTGGAAATCTCTCTTTCAACGTAGACACATTTGATTGCAGAACCGAGCACGTCGCGCGAGCGAAGGAACGCGTGACGAAGAATCAACGCTTGCTGAAGAACGTCGAGAAAGTGATCGAAGAGATGAACGGAAGCAACGAGGGGGCCTTATCGAAAGCGGCTTTTCCTTCGACGGATCAGTCGAAGGACTCAGCTTTGAATCACCTCAAAGTAGAAAAGCGCGAAGAACATTCGAGCGAATTGTGCGCCATCGTTTCAAAGGACCAAAAATACGAAAGCATCGAGACCTACAGGCCGGTGTTTGCAAATCCTGCGGTGGAGAAGTACCTGGACGAGTCCATGAAGAAGGCGCTGAAGAGATACAAAAATTACGGCTAACAATTGGGACAGTTGGGGATCGATCGCGAGAGACGTGAGGATGAGAAAGGAAGAGAAAATTTGCACGCAACTTTGGGATTGTATGCTTCCGGCCGCGACAAATGTCTGTCAGCCTAGGCTAAGGATTCACGTTGTAAACTGTGAATGTAGGTTATCGATTCACGTGATAATCGATAGGGCCGAAGCGAGTGCGGTGAATTGTCGCTTCCTAAATTGTCAGTCGGCAGGGAGAAATTTTTCAAGAGTTTCCGCACGCAAATAAGGGAGCCCCGCGCAATCGAAAATTGCGCAAGCCCGAACGGAGAATGTATCGCGACGGCGACGGTAACGCGACCAGTTGCGCTGACAGCAAATCCAAATGGCGGTTAACCGTGACTTCGAGGAATTATACAATCAGGAAGCACTTCGAAGACTGGCAGGTTCGCATCGGAGGAATTCCGTATGTCGCCGATTGATATGCTCGCTAATTCCGCCGATAGCTTTTCCACTCGCCGCTATGAAACTGCAGATTTCCCCGAAAAGCGACGCGGAGAAAAAGCTGCAATTGAGCCTAGTGGCTCCGAAATTGCCCGCCGATTCGCAGGGCGCGCCCGAGAAAGTGGAGACCGCAAACGCCGAGATCTGTTGCAACCGCGAGGATCTCGACGAATTGTTGGAAACGGAGAAGAACGGAGTCGAGCACAACGGGAAAATAGTACTAAGGGAATACTTACGATTGATCACGGACGTGGAGGTCAGGACCAGTTTCCTGCTGAAGGTCTTGACGAAAGCCGTGAACGAACACAAATGTTACGTCATTTACGGTACCTGCCCGACCGTGAGGAAACCGTTGGCGAGCAGAGGCTGGGTCGAGAAAAGAGCGATCAGGAAGATGATTCCGAGCCCCGACATGTACGCAGGTTGTATTTCAACGCACGACTCCCGCGGCAACTTGTCGGTTAACCCCCTCTCACTGTTAGTGGGAAGTATACTTCCCACCTTTTCTTCATTCAATTTGCCGTTGTAAATCACATAATTTTGAAGAACTAATCGAGGATTTGAGTTTTCCAGATAACTGAATAGTTGTCCAACATACTCCAATAAGTTTTTATACTCAATTATTCATTTGTGATTATTTATAACAAATCAAAGTTGAAAAATAATACTTTTTTTTTTTAGGGAAAAATCGATTCCTCGGAGAGTATTGAATGTAGAGATCTGAAATTTTCACCAAATATTTTTCTGATGTTGTACAAAAATATATATTTTTTCAATATTTTTTTACAGGTTAGATTTTTTTTTATAAACAAATATTTCTACAAAAACGGCCGAAATTTGATTTTTTTGTACTTTTTAGCTTTATTTTCCTAATTTTTTCATCCTGTATCTCCATCTTATCCATACTATCAATATTAATTTACTCAGAAATGAATGTTTAATCTCTAGTAAGCATAAATATGTAGTATTGAACATTCTCCCACATAAATTTTCTCCAGCTCGATCGAGTTCCATCGTCTAGAATCATATGTTCTTATTACGACCTGGTCATTATTTAATAATAATTGATAAAACAATCATTAATTTTGTACATCATGATCGCCATATTGAGTCCGCCATTTTGAATTTTGCAAATCTGACTTTAGATTCGTAATCAGCGACCCAAAAAACGTAGGACTACCAAATATCTTCATACTTTTCCCAAGGGAAGTTAATTCAGCAGTGAAAGGGTTAAACCAAGACGACTTTCTCTCGTAGACGGTTTGGAGGAGATCGAAAAGCTGCTACGCGTCCCCGCTGATTTGATATGGCACACAGGTAGGAGAGCGGCCATTGTCAGAACGCACGACAGAACGATCGTGAATAAATTTGCCGCTAGTTACTTCACGTCCAAGGTAACTTGATCTCCGATCAAAGCGCGCACGGCATGACACGTGAGATGTATGTACAGAGTTTACAAAATACTTAGGTCGACATGTGCAACAATCTGGAGAACGCGTATTGGTTCTACGAGGACGGCGTGTCCTGCATACGTTTTCCCCGATGCTACAATGTCTGTCAGGTGCGAATGATGAACGCGCTCGACAGCATGGATGATATTTTCAGTCTTTATATATTTAGCTTTATATATCTCCTTTTACAGAGGAGGAGGGTTAGATGGTATGTAATTAATTTAATCGCACTTTTCCTCAATAGATACAATGTATCTCGGGCGTTATCGTCGGGTTTGCAATTTAAACGCTCTCCTCTCTCGCCACGCGCGTTTCCTCGATCTTCTTCCAATCGCTCACCGCTATTTGGCTGTTAGATCTCATCGTCTTCTTTCTTATATTTGCAGGAGCATCTACTCATAAATATAAACAAAAGTATAACAAAGGAAACCCGCGTAGACAATCTCTACATTTGATTTAAGCAACGCCTCTTACGTCTAAGATTTTAAAAAATACCACATATTTCTTAAACTTATCTTAATAGGTTTAACGTAGACTTAAAGGACAAAGGATTTCTCAAGGATAAAATTCCTAATATAAAATATTTAATTTAGAAAATATACCCACACACACACTCTCTCTCTCTCTCTCTCTCTCTCTCTCTCTTTCTTTCTCTCTCTGCCTTATACAGAATATTCGGGATCTTTTGGAAACGAAAAATCATGAAGATTAATCAGATCAAACTGAGAAGAAAAATCAAGTAACATTTTGCAAAATGATAAAGGACTTTTTTGTTCAAAATGACCTAATCTGCAATTATATGACGGCTATTGTGTTTAGTGATAGAATATATTGAACTTTGAACCCTGAATCTTGAATCTAGACACGATAGCTGTCATACAATTGTAGATTAGGTCATTCTGAACGAAAAAAAGTCCCTTACTATTATTTAATTAAAAGAGCTAGATATGATAATTTTCAATCATTAATAACTTAACAACCATCGCGATTTTTGCAAAATGGTACTTGACTTTTCTTCTCAGTTTGATCTGATTAATCTTCACAATTTTTCGTTTCCAAAAGATTTCGATATACTTTGTATACATTATACAAAGGCGTGACATTATACATTTTATACAATTCATACTGATGAGTCATGTCACCTCTCACAGCCGGCGCAAGTGGAGGAATTTATACAGGATTACTACATCACCGCGTGTTTCGGCATTCTCAAGTGGTTCTTGTTGTTCGCGACCCTGGTGGGTTCCAAGAACATTTGCTCCCCGAACGGAACGATCCCCGTGAACGCGATTTCGTTTGCCCTAGATCGCTGTATGGAGTACATAAGGTTGCGAAAAGTATTATTCGCTTATTGTGTCTCGTGTATGTGTGTGTGTGTGTATGCTATGTCTGAATGTGTATATAATAATATAAGACGTGTGTAATAATAATAAGACTCGAAGAATAATACGCTGTATACGGAACTTTCCGCAGTATTCAAACGCACGAGGACATAGACCAAAAGGAGCGCGAGCGCGTGTCTCTCGCTGCCTGGCAGCAGTTTTTAGATTGGTTCGACAAGATAATAAACAAGCGCGCTCTGTTGGAAAAACGCGACGGAGTCGACGTGAACGTATGTCCTGCGCAAGCGGACGCGGCGAAATCGGCCGTTTCGGCCGAATCGGCCTGATAAAGAGAGTTGGAACTTGCAGGAGCTCGTAACATCGACGGGCGACGTGGCGAGGGCGATGACGAAATATCGAGCGCAGAGCAGGATCGACGGCATGCGCAATATCTGGATCCTGAAACCGGGCGACAATAGTTTGGGCCGCGGGATCGTGTTGAAGAGCTCTCTGCTCGACATACTCGCCAAGGTGAATCAGGCGTCGAAGGAGAGCGCCCAATACGTCATACAAAAATACATCGGTACGTATGGCCGCGTCTTCGGCGCTTTCGAGCGCAAAACGGAGGAGCGTGAGGAAGTGTGAGAGTAGCGATCCAAGGGAAACGATTCCTCCTATCTTCTCGCCTCCAATGTCCCGGGAGAAAATTTATACACGCGTTGCGTGCAAACGCAATCTTGCAGAGCGGCCGTTGCTCGTACACAAAACGAAGATAGACATCAGGCAATGGTTCCTGATAACGAGCATGCAACCCCTCATCGTGTGGATGTACAAGTACGACGTTTTCAATCCGATCAACGCGCCGGTTTGCGCCTCGTCGTCTCGCGAAGACTTCTTGGTTAATCGCGTCTCTCTCTCTCTCTCTCTCTCTCTCTCTCGATCAGGGATGTCTTGGTGCGATTCGCGTCGAAGGACTTCACCCTGGGCGATTTTCACGAGTCCATTCACCTGTGCAACACCACCGTGCAGCTGAGGTACCGGAAGTCACCGGGACGGAATTCCGACGTACCCGAGGAGCTTCATTGGAATCTTCAAAACTTCAAGGATTATCTTCAGTGCTTTGAGTTTCTTTGGCTTTATCCCCGCTGCGCGCGCCGGGGTTGTTACGTAAGCCGGCGCGATTGACCGATCAACTTGTTGGTTTAGATCGCGTGATCAAGAGCTGGCTTGGGAGAGCACCATCGAGCCGGGGATAAAGCAAAATTTGATAGGCGCGCTTCTGGCGTCTCAGGACAACATGGTGAACCGCAAGAACAGTTTCCAGCTGTACGGCGCCGATTTCGTGGTGGCGGATGACCTTTCGGTGTGGCTGTTGGAGATCAACACGAATCCGCGATTGTACCCGCCGAGCAGCGAAGTCACCGCGAAACTCTACCCGGAAGTGATAGAGGATGCGATGAAAGGTAATGTCATGCGCGACACGAAAGAAGAAGGTTGAAGAATATCGCATCAGGGGCCCTATTCTTGAATCTATACGCAACTTTACGTACACGCACGTTGCGAACGGTAAAAATGCGCATACGTTTCTGACATGGTATTCTTGAACTTAATTGTGTAGTATTCGCAACTAGAAACGTATACGCTTTCCGTTGCGTTTAATTACGTTTGACAACATTGGAAAACATATGTACTTTCTGCAAATATCGACCAAAAATACGATACGACGAACTTTAATTGGCTGCGTTCAGCAGAACAAAGTGGAAAATATGGAACTAATATGGAACTAATATGGAAAAATCTTCTTGGTTCTTCCATTATTTCAGCATGTTCTAACGCATTTATGACTTACTATTTATGTTTACTATTATATCGTCTAAATCCATTATTGTTACACAGTTTTACTCTATAATTAAAATGCAATGGAATTTATATGCTATTTTCTCTTAAATTTCATATTTATTATTTCTCTTACGGATATGTAAAGTCAGCTATTATTTTCTACTCTTTTAGTTTTAGCGTCGAATTATTCTTCTTAATAACAATGTGCTTCTATGTGTACTCTTATACTCCACTTTCTAGACTTTGCATAACGTATCACATATGTTTCGAGAGAAACGGATGGTATTACCCATTCGTTGCATTGCGAATGATAATTTGCGTATACGTTTCACTTGCGACTGTCAAGAATACGGTTCTAGGGATTTTCCATTGTGATTAGTCGAAACATGCCACTTACGTATACGTAAGTAGTTCAAGAATAGGGCCCCTGGTCTCCGCTCACTGTAGTGATTTGCAGTGGTTCTAGATTGCCGCGAAAGTAAAACCGCGCCTCACGGCAGATTCGAGCGTATTTACAAGCAACGCAACCCGCTCTGCAGCGTCAACGTCTTGGGACAAGGCACGAGCCTCGGCATTCGTGGCAAGGCTTTATTCGCGACGCCGAAATCACCGGCAAGATCGCCGTTCCAACGTGGCCGCGCATGAAAGTCGCGTCTCCGAAATCTCATTTCGCAAAGAATTGCTTCAATTTTAGTCCGCTAACGGATTATCCGTCCGATCGTGATGAAAGCAATTTCGTATTAGCATACATACGATTTTACCGATGTCACGTGCAGTTTAGGAGATCTATCGGAAAGTCTACCACAAACATCAAATGCTGATCATTAATCTTTTTTTTTTTAAGCGAAAGCGGCTTTTCTGCTCACGCATTTCATGACCCTTCTTGACACGCTAGAAAACTTTGTAAATAAAATTTCCGGAGTATCCGGTAGTATGAGGAAACGAATTTTCAATATTTCATCTGAGAAGCGTGTTGAGAGGCCGCGATTTTTTCTGTAAATTGGTTTAAAACTTTAACATCTTCGTTCTCACTACTGTTGCCAAAAAAATATATATCCCGAGCAAATTTGGAAATAAAATCCAATCCCGGACCATTCCTCGTCCTTGTATAATTCTAAATTGAACTTAATCGTAACTCAATGCGCAAGACAAAATATATAAATAGCTTAGAATTTTTCAGAATTAATTCTCATGTTCAACTTGTGTTCCGATTTATAGCAGCGACCGAGCGCGATTATTGCAAAAGCGTATTTATGCTTCCTTTTTTTCTTGCGTCGTCAGCGTCGCGCGACACGCAGGATGACACATGCAGGTTAATCGCTAGATGGCTGATTTATTAAAAACGTGTTTATTTTACAAGTAACAATGCGATAGGTATACAATTTTACATAAACTGAAATTTTTCCTCTTCACAGAAAACAATGTGTGTACACATAGCTTACAGTACATCTATAGGTAGAATTATGCTATACCCGCATTTATACGTATTTGCATACAAATTTCGTCTACATTCGTAATTACTCGTAGTATATGTATACTACGATATATAGCTATATATTTTCTGTCCGTCTGTCTTTATATCCTCTTTTTGATTAAAAACGCACTATCACCATCGCTATTAATCTGCAGAATACATTCTGCATTAAATATTTTGCTTTAGATTCTAAAAATGTGATTATGTATATACTCGAACGACGACGCCATTGTAAGAAGGTTGTCCGGCATTGCCATAAAAATTTGCCACTTCACTATTAAGATAGTGTTATATTTTACAGACGTTCGTAAAATAGACAACTTTGAGAAAAAAAGAAAATAATCGTCGTGTACTCAACGCTTATGGTGAAATTATATTTAATCAATGATTCGATACTGTATTCGATAATGAATCTTATCATTACTTTGTTATGCATAACACAATTTATTCTTGTTATGCGTAAAACATAAGTGATTTTTCATTCACTGCAATAGATTATTATGTCATCTGTACATTAAGACGATAATAGAAGACCTACAATATACAAATTGCATACATGTATAAATCATGAAACGGATTAGAATACACTCGCATCAGACAGAGCAAAAACAGATCGAGTAGAAGCGAGACTTTCAAGAGTTTCGCGTGTTGAAGTAAAAATTAAAACCGAATATGTACTGAAATAAAAAAGCTATGTTACAGTAGCCTTCATATTTCGCGCATGTTACGCGTGTTAAAAATTTTACACTTGCTCGCTCTGATGTCAGTGTAATCTCGCGCAACGTGAGATCCCATCTGCATTTATGTCGAAGTCTCACGAGGAGAGAATTGGTCACTCGATTCGAATGTCGTCCATTATCGGCTTACGATCAAACGAAATTCAACCTCGCCTGCGATTTCAACAACCGTTTTGAATAACATTAGGATGAGCTTTGGGTCTTACGTTACCGTATTTGTTTATGCACCTACATATGTCCGCGACGACTGTTCTTATGGATCAGGTATGAAAGCTAATAAGATTGTGTACATGTATATATCACAAGTAAAACTGCACGAAATAATACGGACTCACGTAGCTGATTTTAGCGTAAAGCATAACTTAGGCCTTGAGTTGTTCTTGCCTAGGATCTTCTTCTGCTCCTCCTTAGCGCGTTTCTCATGCTCCTTTCTCATTCTTTGCCTCTCTTCTTCCATTAGTCGTTGTTCTTCGACCATGGCCAATCTCTCCTCAGCCTGACATTACATATGTATAAATTGCACGCCAACGTCTCTATCGTCTCTTAGTCCTCAATCCGCTCAGCACTTCCCACTCAGACTTACCAGTTTCTTCTGAGCTTCTTCGATCTTTCTGTTGTTCTCCTCCATAATCCTCTCTAGTTCCTCACGCTTCTTCCGCTCTTCTTCCTACAATGACAATGGAATATGTTTACACGAAGTAATGATATTGTCGATCACCAGCTGTTGTTACATCGCTCATATTCGAAATCATAGTGCCGCTATGTCAACAGCCTAGTGTTACACATCCTAAGAACCTTTATGCGGAAAAGTTCGGAATACATGAAATCATTTAAGGTTGGATTTCAAAGAAAAGGGATGGCTTATCGAAAGAGAAAGAGAGAACGAAAAAAAAAGTATGAGAGAGAGAGAGAGAGAGAGAGAGAAAGAGAGAGAAAGATAAAAAGAGAGACAGAAAGTGACGGAGGACACGCATGTATAAACACAGTTCCTTCATTTATGTCAAATGTGTTCCTTTTAGATGCCAGCAAACGCTGTTTTTTTCTCAGACTCCCCCAGATGGAAACACGATGACTGAGAGAATGTCACTTGAAAACAAGAAAAAAAAAGATGAAACTCTTATAATTTCGTAAGAATCCAGTGTGCATGCAAGGAATGTACACAAAATCGCAATTTACTTCTCATAAACGCGATAAGTGCATGATAAAAGAGAAAGATGCGATAAGTGTGTGTGTGTGTGTGTCGTGAGTTTATATTTTGGCGATAACGGTATCTGTAATGTTGTACGTGGTCTCTGTAGATGTGTTTTCTACATGTGTCGTTGGTAGTCTGTAGATCATCGATTCGGAAATTGATACCCTAAGGTACATTTATGAATGGGTGTTGCCATCCGCCCGACCTGTCGACGAAATTCGTTGTGTCCCATGGTAATATTTTAGCGAGTCTATAATGAATCCTAGTATGGTCTTTCCGGTATACAAAGTGTTGAAACAAAGAACATGATAATAATAATATTGGTATAAAAAATGAATTATGAATATATAAATTGGATAATACCTGGATGAAGCTCACGCCAGCACGTAGGGGATGCCTTCTTCATCGACAATCACTCAGCAGTGAGTAAAAAACCGGCATCTTCTGTTGGTAGTCAGTAAGGAAGGTTGACCTATGTATCGCTAGGTCGTGCTTTGTCGCTAAGGGATTCTAATTCTGCCCCCTTAAGGTTTCTACAATTTCCCTTTCCTAACAAATTCTTTCCCCCAAACTTGTAGACATATTCAGTGTAAACTCAATGTGCAAAGCAACGGGAGTAACTTCTTTCTGATCGACTTGTATAATCGAACTTGCTGTACACCAGACAGAAACGACTTGATCTTCTAGAGGTGAAAGTAAATAATTGTGCACAAACACAAAATACATCTTGCAACAAGTAAAATCCTGGTCAACCAAGTGTAACGAAAAAAAGGGAGGACGAACATATCCGATGCGAAAAACGGATCGATTGGACTTCCGATCGCGCGCAAATTAAAGTTTATTTAGTTCCTTCGCCATATAGCAATTGATATATTTCTGCATAAGAGTTGCTAGGCAAGCTCAAAAATCAAAGCTGACGGGAGAAACGATACTGTTAAATCAATCGTGAATCGTTGCAACGTTAAATAGCGTGGAAGATTTAAGAGACAATACTTATGTTTGATCTACGTATACATAATACGAAGAGAAATACGCATCAAAAACTACACTTAGTTGTATTATTTTCTTTCCGTAAGCAAGTATGCAAAGAAATGTCAATACAAGTATATTAAAAATTATATCGACGACAGTGTCGCCGTACATACACTTCTGCATGTTTCTGCTGTTACACCGTGATAAGGTAATCATGCGAAAATACTCAAGTCGAGAAAGTCTAATAACATCCTCCTATAGCGGGCCCTAATTCCTCATCTGCACGGTACTCGACGTGTATGCTTTCTTTCTTTTTCTTTTTCCTTTTTTTTTTAATAATTTCGTTAACATTATCGCTACACCGACTGACAGTGAGTAACTGTTCAGGGAAAAATATTACTTTTCCTATGGTTTTATACAAAAATAACTTTATTTCAGACCCAAGAATGATAAGCTCGGACTCGTTTGATAAATTACAAAGTTTGGGATCGTTATCTCTTTAATCAGCGGTACTTTCTTCTTTTCTATTCTCTTGAAATGTCTGCATGATGCGATTACGTAGACAGTTACATACACGCGGACATTTTTCTTTTTCTTTTGAAACTAGACTGATAGGTTTGTAGGTTTGCCTGACCAGCATGCACAACAATTATAGAGACTGCGAGCGAAAACTGCCGATTCAAAGGAATCAGGACAGTTTAAGCGTGTGACTTCCGAAATTGTTGATACAAACGTCAATCCAGATATTGTGTGATGAAAAAGGTTATAATGTTGTACAGATATATAAATATATATATATATATACATGGTACAAATATTTTGATCATAAATAACCGATACATGCGCCTATGATAGCAGAATCTCTTTTATAACGCAAAAAGTTTAGCTTCTCAACAACATGACCGTGGTGGATGCTGAGAAGCCGAAGCAGTGTGGTTATTCCCGCTCAATTAAATCTGTCTGCGGTGTAATCACGAACCACAATGCTTCAAGCCCAAACGCTGTGATCGCGAGACATAAGACTGTGATAAAAGTGCTTCTCGGAGTTCAATCGTAAAATCTCTCAAAGAGAAGGATAAGCCCGTACAATTTGTAAATCCTGCGTGGTTATGGATGGCTTCGTGACATCATATTTGAGCAGGAGAAAGATCTACAAATTGCACTCGGTCTGGCTTAACGACTACTACAAAGTCTCGATACGTTTATCTCTGAACGTTTTTCTACCGCTTGTCACAAATCTCAACTTGATGTTCTCGAAGTCGTATATTGCATCTCGCTTAAAATTTATTGTCTACGACCTGAATAATATTAGTTAAGCTCATTTCGCGCGGAAATACATTCTACGTTTCGAGTTTTCGATACACACGTCACTAAAAGAATACTAAATTCGTTTTTCCTGCTGATCATAACAGCGCTTGGGCTATCACTGTCCAATGTTTCTTTGGATAGATCTTACCTCTCTTCGTTTCTCCTCCTCACGTAGTTTCGCTTGTCTCCACTCCATCTCCTCCATCATTTGACGCTCCATGGCCCTCTTTGCTTCTTCCACCCGCCTCTGCACCTCAGCCTCAATTTCTTCCTTACGTTTCTCAAGCTCCTCTTCTACCCTCTTTTGTACAAGTTCTTCTATACGTTTGGCCGCTTCTTCTTCTACCATCTTTTGTTCCACCTCACGCTGACGTCTGCAGACAGATAAGCAGCAATCTTCTTCCAACACCACTCCAGAGAAAGAGAGAGAGAGAGAGAGAGAGAGAAAGAGAGAGAGAGAGAGAAAGAGAAAGAGAGAGAGAGAACCATTTTTTTCCTTTTTCCATAGAATCGTATTTAACAGCATGCTAATTTTTTTATTGAATTTTAAGTTATAACTGTTTCTTAAAATCCATCGTAATTGGAAGAAATAATATTATAAGTTTACCAAATAGAGTAAAGTTGAACAAAATGTTACTCAGAAATTTAGAGCTTCCGCACGATGTTAAAGTCAAGTATGTCTTTTAAACTGATGAATATTTAATAGATAAACCACCACCATGAAGTAACTACACTTTCTTACCCAATTGTGCTCGTGGTGAAGATTTTGTTCATTAATTCTTTCTTTTTCCTGACAACACAATTATAAAAAATAGCGTATAACAAAGAATTTAGGATATAAAGTAATTTTTATGTTCCACTTGATATGCAACAAAATATAAGTTAGGATTGGGAAATATCAATGGTACAATTATAAAGCTAGTATCGACCAGAGAGAAGCATGACATTTTCCAACCCTAATATAACAATCAAGGGGAACATTTTTCATATTAATCCATTAAAGCTTACCTTTGCCGCTCCATTTCTGCCAGTCTCTCTACCTCGTCCATCTTTCGATCTCTGTCCCTGTATGAACGTTTCTTATGACTGACAATATGCACATCGTCCGATACATCGGAGCCACTACTGGATGACGCGGAATGGGATCGCTTTCTAAATCAACAACCAAGTATAACCAATGTTAACTCTAATAAAATCATATAATCTCTCTGTGACATAGGACGTTATAGCACGTGTTAGAACAAATGGACACACAAGAGAAATGAAAGAAACACGCAAAACCGAGAATTTACTGCGTGGCAACAAGATATGTACAATACTATTCATAAGTGCAAAATTTTATTTCTATCATCGCGAACGCGAACGAGCTAACACTTGAGCTAACAGCACGACAAAATGGCCGAACGTACGTTGAATGTAAATAGGACTTTGCGGAGAAGCAAGGGAATCGCAATGAGGAATCGATTGGCAAACGCACCTGGATTTGGAGCTACGTTCCTTCGGCTTGTCTGAATATTTGTTGTTGGAGTGCTTCTCGCGTGATTTCGACCGCTTGCGAGAATGCTTACTCTTGTGACGCCGCCTGCTCGGTGATTTCGTCCTGGATCGCGAACGGCCCATCCTGCCGAGCTTAACCGTTTTCTCACTGGACTCAATTGCGACTTATAAAAAGTACACGTTTGCGTTAAATACAAATCCGATCGGATATACTCCGCCTCGACGAATCGATACACAGAAGAAGCTACTGTTTCCGACGCTCACACTATGTCGCAGAACCTTTTATATCATTGAACTGACGGCCATCTTTAAATTCTATACTCCGACGTTCATGGATCTGCTCATTTCAACTGCACCAAGTTGCTGCACCATCTGTACTTAGAATAAAGAACGTATATTGGAGGTTGAGAATACCGAGCTGAAAGAATAAAAATTTGACCAATCAGATGGCCAATATATGCTCCTCTTGCCTAAATTAATAACGTTCACCAATGATACTTCCCCATTAGATTTACGGTTATTAAGAAATTTATTACGAACGTTATTTTCTAGTGTAAATTATAAGAAATAAAAACATACATATCTAACGGCTTTCAAATAAAAAATTCTTCATGAGTGTATGATGGAAGACAAAATTCACGGCCGATCTTCAAAATCTTTTTCATCATGCATCGTATTTATTCAATCGTGCGTCGTGACTGTCGATTCTTCGCGGAAACAATTACGGTGAAACACATACTTTATTTCACAGACTTATTTCGTACTTAATCTGTGATCGAGAGAAAATCATTAAAGTCTTTTAAGTTCCTTGCAGAGAACTAAATTATATATATGGATTTTTTCATAATTTTAGTTCTCTTTAGAGATTTTATTTTATACCTCTGTTTCTGCAACTTTTATTCCATTAAAAATTGACGGATCTATTCTGGATGAATTGGTTTTGAACGCTCTCATACTGCCAATAGAAATAGAATATCAGCACAAGTGTCTAAAAAGAGTGTAGTATATAATTTTCAACGACAGGATATTTATAGTTCCATTGTTGCGCAACATATTTCCATCACTCAAATGCCAATACCATAAAGATAACCTGACAATAACGACGGCGGTCGTAAACAATTTCAGAATAGGACTTTGAATGTTTCACAAGTTGAGATAATTTTAAAACGACAAATTCTTCGAGCGAGACGAACAAGGAGGAAAGCACAATTCGCGCGCATTTCTTTTTCTTCACTTTCTTCTTATATTATCTTTTATCTTCTTTTGTATTTCCGACGTCTTTTTCAAGTTGATCATCTCCGATTGCCAGTGCGATATTTCGTGCGACGGCATCGACGCCATTAATCGCGCCGTTGATTCAAGTATCGCGCGCTTCGCGCAGCTCGCGGCATGTTTCGCCGGTTCGGCGTGAGGCGGCGCCACCGGTGGCTCGCCGCTTCAGCACACACAGCTGTGCCGCGTCGCGCGCATGCCGCTCGTGCTCCGTTTCGCCGCCGACTGGCAGAAAGCAAGATGGCGACCGTCTGTTTGCGGATACCTCTGCGGTAGATATAAATACGCGTGGAAAAGAAAGAAAAACACAGTGCCGAGAAGCGGGTTACGGACGATCGGGCGGTCGGTGACGATCGGTGATTGTACGCGCATCCGTCGACGCCGGTCGACGTCGCACGCGTCGCGAGTTGAAGTGTGACGAAAACGCTCCTGTCGTCGTCGTCGTCGTCGTGTCGTCGTCCCCTTCGTCGTCGTGATCTCACTCTGTGCGGAAGCGAAGCGGCGCGGAAGCCTTCGGCGCGGGCGGGCTGCTTTTTCGTGTCGCGTCTCAGCGCCAGGAAGGCGCTCCCGGGTGCGAACAGGTGCCCACCTGAGGAATGCCACATCGTCCCCCGCAGGCCCCCCGGCAGGTTGGATCGGCAGTAGCGCAGCGTGCGGCGGCGGGCGGCCAGTGACGAGGAGGAATCGTGAGAGAAGACGAGGAAGAAGAAGGAAAAAGGACGACCTTGCGCCGACATCGGCACCCGGAGCACGCTCGTGGGGATTCCCTCGCGGAGGTAATCGCGGTCGTTCCTCTCCCCGTGACGTATGTGTGTCGCGGAGGTCCGTCAGACGGGTCGGTCGTCGCGAGTGTTATCGTCGTCGTCGTCGTCGTCGTCGCCGTTATCGTCTAAATTGCCGTCCACGTTTCCTTCATCGTGGTCGACGTCGTGTCGCGAGTGCCGTCAGTGGTCTCGATGCGCTGTCGCCCTCCTTTGGACGACCATCCCTTTTGGACAAACGAGATCAGCTGCTACTGCTGCTTCTACTGCTGCTGGGATTACTAGCCCGGCAGCTCCCTGCGAGGATACCCTTCGGTTGGAGCGGTGGGGCAAGGAGGCGCCGGAAGCAGCCGCGAGTCCGGAAGCATAGCGAAGAAGATGGCCTTCAACGAGGTGAGTACGTTCTCTCTCACCGTACGTTTAACCTGCCTAACCTGCTCGCTCGCCCGCGCGCTGCTCGCGTCGCCCGTTGCGTCGTGATCGCGCGCGTCGCGTCGGCTCGTTCGATCCCGCGGATTGACCCCGCGACCCTCAAACGCCATTCCTAACCTAACCTAACCTTCGTTCCTGCGCACAGCTGGCACGCTATCAACCGCCCCCGCCTGATCCTTCGCACCGACCGAGCGTGATCGTGACAGGCTGAGGAGCCTGTTTGCTGTTTTCGGTGGGTCGCGCGCGGCCGAGCTCGTAGTTTCTTAGCTGAAGTCTCGCTTCTCTCTGATTACGTGACTTTTTAAATGAACAATCCGCGGGCTCTTTAAAATGTTCGAAGGCGCGATCACGATCATCCGGGCGGCGCGGTTTAACGATCGTCTCTTCGAGTGTGTTTCGTGTGCGGGAAGGAGCGGTTCACTCACTGAGGTCGCGGTAACTTTTCGCTCTCGAGTCACGAGTGCTTATCAGCGCGACGAGAGATATGAAATTTGTATATAGATATATTCCTGTCGCTTTGTCTCTCTCTCTCTCTCTCCCCCCTCCCCCTCCCCCTCCCCCTCCTCCCTCTCTCTCTCTCTCTCTCTCTCTCTCTCTCTCTCTCTCTCTCTCTCTCTCTCTCTCTCTCTCTGTACAAAGCTGAATTGAAGTTGAAATTGAAGTTCAAATCAGTATCAGATCGAGTAATATGAGAAACCGGAAAATGTAAATATTTCTCGAAATTTTGCTAACATGTATTTAATTACGATAAATATTTTTCGGAATTTTGCTAACATGTATTTAATTACGATAACAGTTGATTAAATAATGCTACTAATCAAACCGCTTCCTTCGCGGGTATTAGTACTATTTCGCACCGTACTGGGCGACGTCTGCAATGAATTAATAAACAGACTTAATTAATGGTTCTTACAAATACTTTGATGATGTATAATACGTTGAAGAAATATCGTAATATCAAGTCGATTAAAATGTATACACTGCAAATCTCTCTCCTAGCATGTCGCTTTCTGCATTTTTATTGATAATCCGAAGATCCCCGATCTACCACAACGATGTTCGCTTCTCATCATCGTTTTCATCATCGTTACTTAATTAAAATGACTCCGAAAATAATTGTTGCGTCAGCGCGTCAAATTGATCGTTACCTTTCTCTGCTCTCGTCAAGTTTTATTTACAACGCGGAAAGACACGAAATTTCAGCAAACCGAACGAGATCGATATTTATGTCCCGTTACGATTATCGATTATTGATCGCAATTGTCGTCATGCGAGACGCAGTGTCATTCACCGATCGCGCGTGCAATTATCGATGCATCGCTGCGCGATTCGCGGAAACTTAAATAAACCTTAAAAAGAGACGAAACAAGCACGCGAAATCGCGATAAATTCTCACATTATTTCGTCCCACACGTTGCGATAACGCGCGCCTAATTGTTTCGTGTCCTTGAAGCGACGCGATAAATGTCATTGAGACACACAACAAGCTTTTATTATCAGCCACGTTCATTTCATCGCTCTGGCATAATAGTTTCGTCGGCGATTGGCCGCTCCCCCTTCCCTCCCCCCTTCCTCCCTGCTTATCGTCGCCGGTCGCGATATATGACGTAGTTCGCGGAATCCGCGATTTGTCTTCTTACTAGCAATTACATCTCGCTACCAATCGCAATACAACAATAACGACAACAACATTCGAAGACCCACTTCCTCCTCGCGGCGCGTCACCGCCGAGTTTTCGTTCCGACGACTCTCGTCGACATTGGCTGCATTTAACGGAACGAGGCGATAGACGATTGTTGATCTTTACTGTTAAGTCCTTAACCCTTTAACGCCTACTGGTAACTATAGTTACCAGAATAGTTACGCATTTAAGAATCCATAACTTAGTAAGAAAAGGAGATATTTTCGTTTTCTTTGCGCCGCTGTAAAGGTAAATTCTTCTTCTAAAAAATGGTATATAGATTGTATGTAGATTCGGTTTAGTCTGTTTTTAGCTGAGTTTTAATGATAACATGTTTCGTCAAATTCCAAGTAGGCATAGTCAGCATTGTTACTGACATCTAGAAATGCACTATAAATGAATAGATTGGTATCTGTATAATTTTATACATTTGGAAGCTTTCTCAGATGCAAAATGTGAAATTAAAAGAATACAGAAATTCAAAATGGCGAATCCAATATGGTGGACACGAAAATCAAGAAATCAAGCTATTTTCGTGAAACCTGGTGACCTACAGTTTTTTATGCGGTGAGAAACGAAGGAACGACTGGCTATCTAAATGGTGATCTATAAGATATTCTTCTGAAATAGTAAGCTTGACGCTCTGAATGACAAACTTCACTCACAAGTATAGTAAAGTTTCAGCTCAAAAATGTCAAGCTGACTATCAAGAGATATGTCATATAGATTACCCTTCATTTTTCTCTGTATAGCTTGCTCATTTCGTATATGCTTTCAGAATCTAAGTCATATTTACCAATAAACAAAAAACGAACAATAAAAAAACCAATATAAAATTCTGACATTTTTTTTGGTTATCACTACTTATAGTCTCAGTCGAAAAAACTCAAATTTTATTCTTAAAACACTTATAAAAAAAGTCGGGCGTTAAAGGGTTAAATTCAGGCCGATTATATTGGCGGATTACTCGACCGTTGTGCGATCGTCGTGTTTCCCGAACGTGGTAGCCATTGGCTGCGCTTGGGGAACACAACGGTTGAGCGATTGACTCTTCGTCAGAAAAACGTTATCGGTAGAGACATACACCAGTCATTTTGAGTGAATGATAAAAGGAATCGGCAATTTTTACTAAACGCTCGTATTCAACTATCATGTTTCGCGAACGCAGCCGTTGTGTCTCGC